GTGCATTAATGGTGATACACCACCGTTTTGCCCAGCGTCCGAAAGAGTCCAGATATTTTTGTAGTGAGTCTGAAGCTTCTTGCGCAGATACGTGACGTGATAAGATGGCGGTGTCATCTGCATAGGTCGCTATGAGTACTGCATCTGTACTTCCTATATTTGGCTCGGGAGTTGGCATATCTCCTGTGAATAAAGTATAAAGTGTTGGGCCTAGAACACTACCCTGTGGTACTCCAGCCATAATTGGTCTAGTCAAGGATACTGTTTGCCCCCTTGACACTTGGAAGGTTCTTCCAATAAGGTATGAGGATAGCAACGCGAAAAATGGGGCTGGAAGGGTGGTCCTCACTTTCTGCAGCAGTCCCAGGTGCCAAACTCGATCAAACGCCTGTTTGATGTCTAAAAAGACGGCAGAGCAGTACATCTTTTCTTCAAAGGCTCCAAGGATATGGTGCACAACTCTGTGAACCTGTTCCGGTGTTCCATGCTGTCTCCTGAAGCCAAACTGATGGTTTGGAATGGCCTCCTGGCGTCCCAGATGTGTCAGTACTCGTTCCAGAAATATTCTTTCGAATATTTTGGAGAGTACTGGCAACAGGCTAATTGGTCTGTACGACTCAATTTCTCCCACGGGTTTGCCAGGCTTAGGAATCATCACAATCACGGCGCGCTTCCAGCAGGCTGGAAAGTGCCGGATGCGGAGCATGGCGTTGTACACCATAGTTATGTAGTCTATGGTGGAGTCAGGCAGTGCTCTAAGGACTCTGCCGTTTATTAGATCATATCCAGGGGATTTTTTTGCCTTCACTCTTCTGATGTGTTCAAGAACCTCTTCTTTTGTACATCCAGTTATCTGGTCTTCAGCTGGGAGGGGCGAGAGAACGATGTCTTCTGTTGCTTCGATTTCTGAGGCCTCTGCGGTAATCACCGGCGTGAATTGGTCTTGAAGGTGGTTTGCAAAAGCCTCAGCTTGAGCTTCGTCTCCAATGTGCCAGGAACCAGAAATGCTCCGAATGGGATGACGTCGTATTGGCTGCCGTTTGAGCTTTCTTGTAAATTTCCATAATTGAAACTCTGCGTCAGTGGGCGATTCAGCTCGTACCAGCGCATCGCTGATACACCTCTTTTGAAGCAGGGCGAGAGCAGCTTTAAGATGCCTCGTGGCTTCGTTGTACATGGATTTGGCATCAGGCGTGCGTAATCTTAACCAGCGTCTCCTGGCCCATCTTTTGTGTATTAGTAGGTGTTGGGCCTCCAAGGTGAGGGGGATGTTGTACGGAGACTGTTGTCTTGTTTGGCAAGATGGTGGGGCGGCTTGGTGCGCAGCTTTGACTATTTCTTCCTGCAGTTTGTTTGCTGCGTAGTCCACGTCTTCAGGAGTGTTAAGTTCCATTTCTATGTGCAAAGAGTAATGGAGCTCGCGCCTAAAGACTCCTAAATCTGATCCTGCTGGCAGTAGTTGTTTCCTAATGGGCAAGGGCTGTGGCTGCGCGTGGATTGTGACTATTAGTGGCAGGTGGTCAGAGGATAGGTCCAAGGATTCTTCAATGGTCAATTGCCGGTCACAGATGCCTTTGTAGACAGCGAAGTCGATTGCCGAGGGCCTGTGTCCATTAATTGGGTAACGGGTGGGGGCTCCAGTCGCCAATATGCTGAATTGTAAGTTTTGAATCGCCTCAAATATGACTTCTCCGCGACGATTCGCACTATTGCTTCCCCAAAATGGGTGCCATCCATTCCAGTCGCCGCCGATGAGGGTCTTATTCAACCTTTGGCCTAGAACCTGTTCCATGTGATGATCACACAGACCAGTGTTTGGCGGAAGATAAATTGACGCAACTTCGATCGCTCCAATAGACGTAGGCAGGGTGATGGCTGAGACCTGCATTGTTGCGTTGCAAATTGGCAGTAAAGGTGTATGCGGTATTGTTGCTCGTATGAGGATTGAGGATCCACCAAAGCAGTTTGCTCCTTCACCATGAGCCTGATAGTGTTCGTATCCGAAAATTTGTGTAGTGGGGCACTCATGAGTTTCTGTTATTAACATTATATCTATGTTTTCTTGTGAGAGAAACGCAGCCAGTTCCTGAGTCTTGTTTCTCAGGCCATTGGCGTTCCAGATACCCACACGTAAAGCCATTATTTGTAGGCAAGCTTGGTTATGATGGCCATTAAACTGTTTAGCATGGTTGCTTGTTGGGATTGTACTTCTCGCATCGCTTTGAGCTCGGCATTAATTGCGTCAAACTGACGTTGTTGTTGCTGAAGCATTTCAGTGAACAAAGTGTCACTTGTGGTATTCTTATTTGACGGTCCACCTCTAGCGGCCTGTGCGTAAGAAACACCACTAATAGGCGTTGCAAAGCTCGTGGCTTGGGTAATGCTCCGGGGCCTTGTAATTTCGGAAGCAGTACTCGGACCCGTAGACGGTGTTTGTGTGGGACTCCTTTTTTGTGCTGGGGATTGCAATTTGCGCAACCGCTTGTATACTTGGCAGCCCTTATAGTTGGCTGGGTGCTGTAACTCACAGTGCACACAAGTTGGTGCCTGGTCCTTTTCGCGGGTGCAGTCTTTGGATGCGTGTTTCCCGGCGCAACGCACACATCTGGGAGCTTTGTGGCAGTAGCGTTGTGTGTGTCCAAATTCTTGACAGCGATGGCATTGTGTCAGGTCGTTGTATCTTCTTGGCAGTTCCACTGTGCAGCGTTGCCTGCAGACAACTCGAATGTCCAAAATTTCTTTGTTGTTGGGGGCCTGAGCCACGTCAACAAAAAATATATTTAGCGGTGTTTTGTCCATACGGCTCAGTGGGTTGTGCACATTTGTAATTGTGTGGCCTTTGGTTTCCAATTCCTTTTTAATTAGTGTTGTATCAGTGCTGGAGTGAAGCCCTTTGAACACGACTCTATATGGTTTGTCCTCCTTAAGCTGGTAGCAGTGGAACTCCAATTCCAGCTTAGTAAAGTGGTCTATAACTCTGCGATAGTCCTCACTGCATTGGGTTAATACACCTATGTTATTCTTCTTTGGCTTAATTACGTATGATTTAGCATCAATTACTTTATCTATTATCTGTTGAAGTAGGGCCACAGACTTGATGTTTGGACACCATATGGGGGGCGGACGAGGTTTCGGAGTAGTTTGCTGGTCGGTCAATACTGGGGCTTCTGGAGCTACAGGTGATTCGCTGTAGTCTTCATCTTCTTCTACGAGCAGTGAAAATCGATTTTCTGATATTAATGCTGCATTGCTGGTGCTTGGTTCGTCGAAGATGAGCCTTTTCTTGATGGTTTTTGGTGAATTTGGCTGTTTACGTTTCGTGTTTTTGTTGTTAGTGATGCCTTGCACGGAGGCGATATCTATTTTTGAGTTTATTGGCATGATGGAGGCTTGCCTATTTGCCATCACAACGTTAAGCTGGGCTTGCATTTCTGCATTTACCTTTACAGCTGTAGCGAGGTTATTGACATTAGATGTCATCGCGGATTGTGCTTTTGAGTGCAGGCGCACTCGCGCCAAGCGACGAAATTTCGTAAATTGCAATTAAAGCAATTGAGTTACGCGGAAGCAAGCGATAAGAAAACGCTGCGTGTGCGGTTTTTGTTGCTGTTGCGTTGAAGAATGCACCGCAAAGTTCTATTTTTAGAACTCTGCAGCAGTAGAGCTTAAGCGAAGGCTGTTCGAATTCACGTCTTTACAGGTCGAGATTCGAAATTAATTTTTCTTTTTACTGCGCAAATAAAGTAAACATGGAGATGGTTACAAAGGGGAAGAAGACAGATTTAATTGCGTGTTTATATGCTGTTTAACTGAGTGCCATATAAATTAGCCGAAAAGCTTCGAGGACATCGTTAAATAAACTCTTCGAATCGAATCATTATTCACAATAAATAGCAGCCAATAGCCATAGCAATAATAGTAATAAAAGCAAAGCATAGACCAGATTCTGAGATCTGGATTTATATGCCTCACTCATAGAGAAATCCTGGATAAACAAAGAACGTGATGCAACTAGTAGCATGGCTGGATATGGGAAAGTTCTTAGAATCTCTTATTCATTCAGAAGACTCTAAATATAACTAACTTCAGTTCCGAAACTGATCAAAGATTTTACGAAATTCCAATCAGAACTGTAGGTCCCTATATTCTAGTACTCAGCAAGTACCTTGAGTTGATCTTGAATGAAACTATAAATTTGGTATTTGAAATATATATTTGGTGTTGAGTATAAGCAGTGCAAGGTAGTGGCTATTTCATTTCGATATTCATATATCGATAAGAATCGATATTACGATTTTGTTCTTTTCCAGCAAAACATAAAGATTATTCAAGATGATGCAGATAGATATAGATATATAGATATAGAAGAGGAAGCGCACTTGTTTGTGTGTGCATGTATAGCTATATATAGGAAAGCCACAATATTGAATAGACTATGAATCGCTATAATAGGTTGCCTAAGTACGCACTCAGCCAAGGCAGTTCAGTGGCTGATGCTACCTTCCAGTTGCAGGGATTAACACAAAGTTTAATTAGCCTCGATCGGCGTCAATGCCCCAGTCGAGTTGAGCAGTTCTATCTGTCCTTTGTCCGTCCCTATGGTAATTGAAAATCGTATTCATTATACGAGTTTAACTGTATTTTCTTGTATGTTATTTCTGCTTCATGACTTGATTCTTGTTAAGTCAAAAATGCAAAAATGCAAAAATGCAGAAATTCATGTTGATATAATAAGCATGCATAAACCTTATCAGCAATTGTGTATTCGTTCTATGGCGACAACGACTCCCATTACCAACCCAGCACAGCATCTAGTTGCTCTTCCGTTCACCTGCAACTCAATTTCCCAAATCCCTTGCCCTGTTCCGTTGCCCATCTAAAAAGCTGCAAATGAACTTGACTAAAAACATCACGGACTTTATAGACTCCCACGCTCGCTCTCTCTCACACATACACACTCTGTACTATTTGTGACTCTTTTCTGTCTCTGTCTGTTGCAGGTCTCATTAAGCATATCCATTCTGCTGTCGCTCACTGTGTTCTTCCTGCTGCTGGCGGAAATCATTCCGCCCACGTCGCTGGTGGTGCCGCTGCTCGGCAAATTTGTGCTCTTCACAATGATACTGGATACGTTTAGGTGAGTGAATATGCGTCTAAGTGTGACTGCGAGCACGACTGAGTGTGGGTGTGAGTGTGAGTGTGAATATGAATGTGAATATGAATGATGTGAATGCGAATGCGAATGTAAATTCCAGGACGCGCACGCACTCGTTCGATTTGCATGCCAACTGATAACGGTACACTGTACCCCCACATGGACGTGTCTGTTCACCTGTCTGCCTTCTGCCGTCTACCGTCTGTCGTCTGTCGCATGTCCTCTGTCGTCTGGGCGTCCCTTGTTTATGAGACAGCTGCCATGGCGGAAACGGATGCAAAAAATAAAATTGCATGCGCTTCAGTTATTTCTCTTATTTGAATACCCATTAAAAATATGCAAAACGGGTCAGCTGTAGCACGCTGGTGCCTTTGCTTCTGTTTGGGCTGCATTTGCATAGTTCCATGTTCCAAGCTTATCCGATATTATTCCAAATCTAAGTTAAACTCAAGTAATTTGCTACGAATTTTGAAAGTATTTCAACAAATAAATAAAATATGTATTTTCATTCGATAACTGAGTGGAATTTGAGCGATAGCATTTTTAATTTCAATCGATTACATTCGATATCAAATTTTATTTAGCATATTTGAGTTTAACTCAGTTCTTGAGCCCTCCTTACGCCTGCATGGCGAGCGGGTTCGGGTATCTGCAAGTCAAGCATGCCCGACTGCAGCTTTCTTATTCGCATTTTTACAGTGTGTTAATCATATTCGGATAGTTCTCGAATATATATATATAATGTGAAGAGCTACAACCTGGACATATCTAGGTTTATTATTGTAGCTAGTGAAAGTCTTAAGTATCAAGAAATTTGAGCTTGCTTGAGACTACGCTTGCTGCCATAGTATGTGCCATGGTGGCAAGGTTGTAGGGTATCTGTTTGTCGTTCACACGCGCACATGTCTTCTGAGCTTGGCTGGCCATGTGCCATGGCCCAGCTGGACTTGACTTAACTTGACTTAAAGCCCGCACCGAACGGACCGCGCGGCTCGCCAAGTCAAACTCCAAAAATGGCGCCGCAAATTTACAGCCGTTTGCCACGCCCCCAGCTGGCGCACAAATGGCCGCCTAATTGTTGTTAAACAAAGTCGAGTCTGTCTTGCTGTTGGCTGGCTCAGGTTGTGCAGAGGACAATGGCGCAACAGGACTCCGACTTGAACCACAAATGATGTAATTAAGCCAATGGCCATAACACCAACAGTCAGCCAGCCTCTGCCGCTGGCACTGCCACTGCCACTGCCACTGCCACTGCCACTGCCACTGCCACAGCAGCTGCCACCGTCCCTGTCTGGACAAAAGCTAATTAGACAGACGTGGGCGTCACAAGTTAATTAGCCGGACTAAGAGGCGCTGAGACGACTGAGATGCCGTCTTAAGCCAGACTCCCCAGCCCCGCCCACTCGCCCACTAACGACTGACTCTGCTTGTATCTGTCTTGCAGCATCTGTGTAACAGTGTTGGTGCTCAACATTCACTTCCGGTCACCGCAGACCCACACGATGGCGCCCTGGGTGCGCACGGTGTTCATCAATCAGCTGCCGCGCTTCTTAGTGATGCGTCGCCCGCTCTATCCGATCAGCGAAATGATGTACGATCTCTCAATCCCTCCCTCTCTGTCTGTGCGTATATTTATATGTCCTTTATCTGCAGCAAGTCGTCGCGTCGCCTCATGGTGCGCACCTGCAATGGACTTGAGCTGAGGGATCAAATACCACCGCTGCCACCGCCTGTGGCTCTGTCCCGGTAAGCAAAGCTTTCTTAATCCCTCTGCTTGGGCCCGTGTCTAAAGCTTATTAACTGCCTTTCCTTCAGCATGCATCACAGCCCGAAGACAACGTCGCGCAGCACCTCGCCGCACCTGCAGCATCGCGTGCAGGCCATGAGCTTGATGGACGAGCTGGGCGCTGTGGGTGGCTGCGGCGGCGCATCGACGATCACTGGGCACCTAAGCTCGCTGTATCCGCCGACCATCTCGACAGTTAACCAGCAGACCTCGACCACATCCTCCCTTATCGATGCCCAGTACCACAATCAGTATCAGCAGACGGGCGGCTCCCTGCTGGATCATCCGCTGACGCCGACCAAGTTCCGTCAGATGACCTCCACCTCTAGCCAGACGGGCCAAAATGGAACGGGTCATCACCATTATAATGTCGGCGGTGGATGCGGTGTTGGTATAGGTGGTGGCGGTGGCGGTGGCGGTGGTGCTGGTGGTTGTGCTAGCAAGAGCATCTCCACCACAACACTGGCTCATCAGGCCAGCCAAGTAGGTAGCTATCATTTGTATCGACAGCAGTCTAGCTGCTCGGCAAACTTTTCGCCATTGCCATTGCATGCGCATCAGGTGCATGCCTCGACGACCACCTGTGACCTGGGCCTGGGCGGTAACCACAATCCCAATGTGATAAAGTCCACGACGACGGTCAACTCGGTGGCCACTGCCTCAACGCTGGCCGACTCCTGCTGCAGCGGCACCATACAGATCCATCAGGGCATGGGCGCCGGCGCCGCCTGCCAATCCTCGGAGCTGCTGCATATGCATCGACCCACCACATCTGCCGCCGCCGCGGCAGCAGCATCGGCATCAGCATCGGCATCGGCATCGGCAACGGCATCTGGCGCCAGCACATCGGCGGCTGCTGCGGCAGCTGCCGCGGCGGCTGCGTCAGCGGCGGGTGGAATCACGCCGCCCCCACCACCACCGCCGGCCTGTGATATACTGCCCGCCTGTCAGCGCGAAGGTGGCCCACATTGCTGTTCGGGGCGTGGCAATGTACGCCAGCGCTGGCACACCTGCCCGGAGCTGCACAAAGCCATGGACGGCGTCACGTACATCGCGGATCAGACGCGCAAAGAGGAGGAGAGCACACGGGTGAGTTGACAGCCAAGATGTTGGCAAAGTCTTAGAGCCTCTAGCTAGAATATAATAGAATAGAATAGAATAGAGCATGTGTAGGCAAATGACGGCAAGGCAAATGAGGCTAAGTGAGGTCGCCTGGCAAAGCCCAAAGCCGCTTAGCATTTGGCGCGGCTTAGCCTAAGTCCCAGTCAGTCGCTGCCGCCGGCAATTGTCAATGGCGCGAGGGAGCCGGAGGGGAAAACGGAAGGAGATTGGGTTATTGGGCCACAAAATTGGGCGTACAATGTTAATAGGGCAACGTTGGCGGACGGGCGCAATAAATTAAAACGGTCTTAGTCTTGGATTTATTCGAACGTCAATAATCGATGGGCGGCGATGACACCTAACCGGGACACTGCCGGCACAAATGAGGAACCTAACAAGCCGGCCAGCCAGCCAGGCTACGGCTACCATCGGTTTCACATCGATAATGATGTTAACGATAATATCCTGCGAGCTGGTCAGCCTTGTCCTTTTGGTTGACCTCTCATCATGCATGGTCCATCGTAGCTCCGTCTATCTGTGCAGAGGGGCGTGCAGGCGGGATCAAAACTTTTAATGACTTTTCATGCGCCTTATGAGCACGGCCAACGGCACAGTCCTTAGGGTCCTTGCTGTGCAGTCCTTGTATGCGTACGTACAAGTAGTTTGCCATGGCATAATGAATGTCTTCTGGCAGCACAAATGCCAATAAAAGTATTTTATTAAAATTACGCACACATTCAATCATTATTGGAATGTCATGCTGGGCTTAGACCATGCCACAGAGCACACAGCACACAACACACGCAGGACATAACACGACAAGCCGCAGGAGATCTACATCTGGGGGCAGGGCAACAAAACATGAGACAGAGCCAGTATAATAGAACAGTTGGCGCGCAGGCATTTACATTCAGTTGAAGGGCAGGAATTTCGCGTGCGCACGAGTCTGAATCTGTGAAGCCAACAACGAAATGCAATCGAGTCCAGGAAGCGTGTCTCAATGATATCCACTATATATATACCGGCAAGGACATTGACTTCAATTGTGTGTGTCTGTGTGTGAGTGTGTGTGGCTGTCCTGTCGTTCGAAATAATTCGAATCACTTGCCGCTTGCCACAACCTGAGCCACTCACATGCCCAATAAGCTTTCCTTTCATAAAGATGCCCCAAAGCAAGCCAAATCTTTTAAGTGACCAATCAAGTCGAACCGAATTCACACTTATTTAGGGACGTAAAGATATCATTTTGACATCAAGATATCTTTTAATATGGAACTTAGGTAAAATGGCATATTCCAAAAAAAGGGAAACCAATCCTTAAGTGGAGTATCTCACGTCGAATGAGCTAGGTTTCCTTGCTCCCAGATAGGTTTCCGATAGCTCCAATTCTAGTCAGCTTTCAGTTCTCACATATTGGGTTGTTCACTAAGTAATTACGTTTTTTTAGTGCAATTCAAAACCGATTTTTTTTATTTTATACAACACTTTATGAAATTATGTATTCTCCATTTTGCTCTAAAACCTTTTGCCATCTTTCGGGCAAGAGATTGATTCCGCGCTCATAACATTTTTGATCCTTGCCAAAAAACTGTTTCAAGTGGTTTTTTACGTCCTGATTTGAGGTGAAGGTTGTACCATCCAAAAAATTCTGCAGAGACCGGAACAAGTAATAGTCCAAAGGTGCCAAGTCTGGAGAATATGGTGGGTGTGGTAGCACATCCCATTCAAGCTGCATAAGCTTTTGGCGAGTTATTAAACTTGTATGGGGTTTCGCATTATCCTGGTGGAACACTACACCTTTTCTATTGACCAATTTTGGTCCCTTCTCTTTGAGTACATCACTTAATTGTCTAGTTGATTGCAATAAACTTCAGGATTAATTGTTGTTTTGTCCGGCAAAAGCTCAAAATAAACGATCCTCTTGAGATCCCACCAAAAGGACAACAAAACCTTTTTTGGTGAATATCGGGCTTTGATGTCGTTTGGGCTGGTTCATCCTTTTTAGACCATGATCTCTTGCGCTTTACATTGTTGTAAACAACCCACTTTTCGTCGCCGGTAACAATGCGCTTTGAAAATGGATCGTTTCTATGACGTCGAATAAGCGTATCGCAGTCGTCATTGCGACGAAGCAAGTTTCGTTCTGTAAGAACATGCGGAACCCTTATGGAAATTAATTGTAGACGTTTCATGCGCTTGTGAACGGTCGCTCTTGACAGATTTAATCTTTCTGCAATCTCTCAAGTTGTTATTCGACGATTTGCATCGACTAACGACTTCATTTTGTCCACATCGGCTTCAAGAGGCCTTCCAGGACGTGATGCATCCTCATGATTGAAATTGCCGGAACGAAATTTTTCAAACCAATTTTGGCATTGGCGTTCTGTCAATACATCTTCTCCGTCACATCGCATAATTTTTGCCTGTTTTAACTGCAATTTTGCCCTTTCGATAGTAAAACAGATAAATAGAAAATGTTGTCTTGGATCTTCCATTTTCAATTAGGCACCAAATGAAAACTATTTCACAAAATCCAACAAAATTGTTGACAAATAAGCTTTACTATATCACCTGTTGAAATTTATAATGGTAAAGCGGTTAAGCGCGAAGTTGGCTCGAAAAAATGCAAAAAGATCAGCTGATGTCATAAAACGAAATTACTTAGTGAACGACCCAATATTTTGTCGGTTCTAGTACTATCTATACTGTATATATGAAATTGATTTTCTCTCTTTCTTTCTCCCGCTGCCTCTCTCTGTCTTCATCTCTTTATTTCCCCCTCCCTCTCCCTACCTCTATAACAATCGTCTTCCCTCTCTCCCTCTGCCCACTGCTCTCACTCTTGTTTGAAAACGTTGATAATTTGTCTTGTTGCATTCATCATTTTCTATATCTTGTTTTTCGTCAACAGGTCAAAGAGGACTGGAAATATGTCGCCATGGTATTGGATCGCCTCTTCCTTTGGATATTCACAATAGCCGTGGTCGTGGGCACGGCTGGCATTATCCTGCAGGCGCCCACACTCTATGACACTCGCGTGCCCATTGACATCAAGCTGTCGGAGATTGCCTCCACGACGGCCAAGCCAAATGTGGTGAGGCCTGTGTTGTAAGTCCCTCAAGGACTGAAGCACGCACAAACACAGTTACACACACACACACGCACATACATATTCACACACACGCACTCACATATACATACTCGTGCCCACATACGGACAGTCTGAAAAACAAAAACAAGATGAGAGTTTCGCATTTGTTTTAATTTTTTGTATCGTGACAACTGCAGCAATCACGACAAGAACAAAAACAACAACAACAATAACAACAAACAAGCAAACAAACAACAACTATAACTATAACACAAATACGTATATCGTAAAGAAAAGTATTTGTTATATAGTACACATGTCTACTTACATAAATGTATTCATAGGTAAAGAAACGATATTGAAAGAAACCCTAAATAATTATAACTAAAATTGTACACTAAAGTTTAGCAAATACAACCACATCTACAACAAATGAAAAAAGCACAAAAGAAAACAATTAAGAACGTAATAACGTGAGGAACAAATTATACAAAGTTTGACCTTATGCTGTTCCAGAAATTAAATTGGAACAAATATCTGATCAGCAAATATCGAAAGGAGTCAGTTTTAGAAATTGTTTGTTTTGATGCCGTTTTATGAACTAGAAATCGTTCACACACACACATACATATACACATACACATAAGTAAGTCAGTTCGTTAGCTGATCCGCATATAAAAGAACTGATTCCTTTTTTGATTAGCACTTCGTTAGCTATCGATAAGCGATAGCCTTGCAATTGAACTGTAATTCTCAACTGAACTGTAATTGATAATTGTTGTTTTGTGAGACGGCAGTTAAAAGTGAACAAACATAACAAATGTTAGTCCAAATGTTAGTTAGCTAGCTAAACAAAAGCAGAAACATATATATTTTTATTTTCCTTTGAAATTGCCAGGGGCGACGGTTGAATGCAGAATATGAGAGAATGAGTAGTTGGTTGAGCTTTCGAGCTGCAAATGATGCATGCAAATTAGTGCAAATAAACAGTGTGCGACGCGCCTTGCGGCAATTAGTTAGCACAAAGCTTTAGTTATTATGCCCAAGTGTGCGTGTTTCAAGTGTTGCTGTGCGTGTGTGTGTGTGCCAGTGAATGTGTGTGCGTGTGTGCATGTGTGCCAGTGACTGCATGTGCGTGTGCGTGTGCATGTGTGTTTATATTTGTGTCTGCACAGACACAGTAAATAATCACCATTTTGAATTCAAATTCAATTTTAGCACACATCAGCTGCGCGCGCGTGCAACGCGCCTAATTGGCCACAGCCGCGAATATTAACCAGCGACATGGCCACAGATCAACAACAGTCCTATGCATAGCATATGCATACCCTAGCTAAGTTTCCTAGCCCACTAAGGCCAATTTAAAGCCTGGCAATAGTTTTTTATTAGTTTCTGTCATACATGCAAATGTGTGCATATGCTCACACACACACACATATATATATATATATATACATATGTATGTCTGTATGTACATATGTTTGCATGCAGCTAAGTTATTATCATAGAAGCACTATTTCGTTGCCGTTGTTATTTTTGCTGTTCTTGTTTTTGTTGGTGTTATAAATGAGCATGAGCATTTAATGTTCGGCACGTCGAGTATAAATTCTTTCTTTTTGTGTTTTTTCTGTTTTGTTTTGTTCTTAGTGTATGCTCGACGTTTTTTAATGCACTCGCGCCTCTCATAATTTATGCAAATTTGCAATTGTGCTGCAATTTATGCGCACAATTTACACTGGCTGGCTACCTGGCCGAGCGGGTCACGTGCCAACAGCAGCAGCAACAACAAACAGCAAAAGTCTAGGCGCCAAAAAAAAGCTTTTCCCTGTCGCTCGCTGTGTGTGCAGCGCTTGTAGTTGGCTGGTTTGGTTTGGTCTGGTTTTGTTTGGTATGCTTTGGTTTATTTTATTGCTTCATTGCTCGCCCCATTCGTTTATCTGCATTTCCGTGGGCAATAAAAATCAAATAATGTTGATTAAAGCAGGCGGGCAGCAAACAAAAAGTGTTTTCCAAAAACCTTTTTAAATCCAAAAAACCAAACGACCCATGTTTAATGCTTAGCAAGCGCGGGGGGAAATTTTAACAGCAGCACACAAATGTCCCAACGAAAGCTAGTGGCAAGCTAACAGAGCGCTGTTAAGGCGAAAACGTATAGCTATAGCTATTCTAACAGTGCGCTGTTACCGCTATGTAATTAGGCCATTTATAGTTAAAGATCTAAAATATGATCGAAACCTAAAACACAATAAAAAGGACGATAATTTTTCCTTTTTTATTTGTTGTGCAAATTAGCAAATAACTAAAATACCGCACAATCAAATTATTATAAATATACGCAGCACACTAAAATATTTCATTTTAATTTATTTTTAATAGCAAACGAATGCGGTTTGTGCGGTGTTTTAATTTGTTGTTTGCGATTACACACACAACGATAAATAATATGCGCGCATAAAAATGTATTTAATTACTCAAATTTTGACAAATATTTGCAGTTGGCTGCGACCCACGTGAACAGCTGCGAACAGCTCTCGAGTCGAGGCAACGAACGCTCGCAGTCTCTCCTCATCGAATTTCTCCTTTCAATATTGGCATCTTTTAGCGTTGGGCAAACTTTAATTGAATGAAAATGCAACTGCACACAGAATGAAAAGCCATTAACCAATAACAAATTATTATTTTATGCCACTTATACGTCCATATATATATGTGTGCGTGTGGGGCGCGGAGGACACAGCACGTCGAGGCTATGGAAATAGCGAAAATGTTGCGAAAGTTTTTAAAACACTTTTAATGACAGGCCAAGCGGGCAACTCGCTAGGCGTTCGTTCGTCTTCTGCGGCTCTCTTCGCCTCTATTCATTCTGTTTGCCGTATACCCTACCCCGGATCGGAGCAGGGTATATATGTTTTGTGCGTGTCTATATACGTATATATTCAGCATCAGATTGATACGCTCAGTTGGTCGTACGTTAAAATAAAATGAAATTTCGTTTGCTTACAAACTTATCCGATTTACCTATTATCGATAATTATCGATATTTGAACATGGCTTTCAGCCAATAAATAGATGATCATTTCAGTTATTATGGGAAGAAGAAGAGCGGCATTCACTTGCGTGTGTGTGTGGGCTCAGGGTATCTGCTAGTCGGACATACCCGACCAGAGCGCGTTTACTTGTTTTTAAATAGTTTTGATTTTCTTTTCATTTTTTGTTTGCTTTGCATTGCTTGTCGCCTGGGCGGGCGACATTGAGGCCCAACCGCAAATCATAATTGTTGTGGCAACAGCAACAACAACAACAACAGCAGCAGCAGCAAGTGAGAGAGGAGGAGCAACAACAACAATAACAATAATACCAGCTGTGGCCAGCACAAAAAGGACATTAGCCTGGCTATCGCCTTGACTGTCTGACTGCGCCGCGCCCAGCTATTACGCACGCCCCCTTCAAGGCCCTGGCCCCGCCGCCCCGTTGCGCCGCTTTTGCTGTCTGCTGTTTGTTATTGTAAATCCCATTGTTTCATGCATTTTTGCCGTTTGATGCTGAGGGTCCTGGTCCTGCTCCTGGTCCCTGTCCTGGCTGCGATGCGTATCAGAGCGAGTTTTGTTATAACTTTCCCGCTCAGCCACTGAAAGTATGTTACAGCATTTATCTATTGCCCTGAGACGCGCAGCGCGATCTGCCCCCTCTCCCTCTCCCTTTCCCACTCTCTCTCTCGCTCGCTCTCTGTGTAGCAATACAAAAGCAATCATAAAGTTACAGCCGCCAAACTGCCTGCTACCCCTTGGGGCGCCGTTTCCCAAAAAAAAAAAAAAATAAGAGTACAGTCAGAGTCGCGTGAGCTCGAGACTTGTTTAAATGGGCCTATCTATAACCACCTAGATAGAGAGAGAGAGTGAGGCAGAGGGAGGGAGGGAGGTTGCGAGCCAGCGATGGAGCGAGGGAGGGAGAGGGAACTGACAAATTTATTGCTTGCTAATAGGAAAACAGTCCAAAATGGACAAAGGACCAACTTTTGGCAAACGCCAAGCGGAAGCAAAACTGTTTTTCGACATTTTTTGTGCTCTTCGTTTATAAAAATAAAACAAAAAAGGAGAAAAAATATGTTTTTAGCATAATGTGATTCATTATATACGAATTTTCATTGTTGCGCGCGTGCTGCTCAATTTCGGCGAACTCATTATCATGGCACGCCCCATAGCCGCCGCTCACCTTGGGCAAACATATTTTGGCTAATTTGATTTTAATTTCATTCGAAATGTTTTCTCTGTCTGTTTGTCCTTTGTTGCTTTGAGTGAATCGCTTTGGTTGGTTTGGTTTGGTTGGCTTGGCTTGATTGTTAATTGACAGCGAGGTGGAGGCAAACAAATAACTCAAATTGAAGAGGACCGCGAGAAGCAGAAAATAATTGAAATCGAGCTATTTGCGCAGATTTTTTTGGCCCTAGGCTAGGCGCACACTATAAATGATGTTTGTGGGCGTTTTAGGCTAAACAACAACGCACACAATTCACAAATATTTATATAAAATGCAATTTTAACAAAAACAAAAACAAAAACAAAAAAGATCAAGAAAAGAGAAACAAAAACAAAAACAAAATAGTTAAGAAATTCTGCTGTTCTGTAGCTCTTAAACTGCCGTTCACAATGACAAAGCTGATCGCTATGAGTACGCGTGGCATAGCAGGCAGCTGCGTAGGGCTGGGCCGGTCGGTCCAGCCGGTCCAGCAACGCAATAGTGCTGCCAGCTCGTTGCAAAACGTTGCGATTCAATTGTTGAGCGAATCACTTGAAACAGTTAGAATGATTTGCGTGCACAGCTAGCACAACTTGCACAGTGGCTTCCGAAAGGTTTTCGACACTCTTTCATTTCGTTTCGATGCAACAAGTGGACAGGCAAGCGAAAGGAAAATACCAACAGCCAAATTTCAGCGCACACAAATATCACTATTCATTTAAATAAATTGGCGAGAAGTTGAAGGTGTTGAAATTTTGCTTACCAACTGCAAATGCGAATCGAATCTTTCACGCTGGCAAACATTTTTTCATCGTTTATAGTGTACAAATGAAAAATGGAGAGCAACGTTTTTCGAATATTCATATTTAGGTACAGTCGCAACAACAATATATATATATATATATAAATGTATATGTATTATCAAGCGAAGAG